CTATTACTGCAAGGCCAGACATGCTGCCTCCCTCCAGCCCTTTCACCAACCGTTCCTCCCAAAGCACCCACCACCTCTCTCCTGGGTTCGATAATTCGCTGCAGTGGCCACACAGAACTCACAGATTATGGAGTTTATTAGGGAAGCACCAGGCTACAATTCAAGTTCAGGAAAAATGCTCAGTCTCTGTCCCAACCCACTGTCTCTCAGCCAAGTCTCTCACAGTCTCTCCCCCAGCAGTGCATATCCCTTGGTGTCTTACTCAGCAACGCGTGTCTCTTGCTTCTCTTTCCCAGCAGCACGTGTCTCTTTCTGGGGCATGTGTCTCTTTCAGCAGCACATCCTCCTCAACCAGCAGTCAGAGTTCTGCCTCTAGGAGGCCTCCTTTTGAGCTTGGCAGAGTGGCCAAACCAATCAATCATAACAACAGAATTCTAAGCACCTGAGAGTGAGCCTCCCATAACATTGCATTGTGCCATGCCCAACAGAAAAGCCCAGATAGATAACATTTACAATCAGGAGCTCCTCAGTTGCTCATTCCACCACTGAGTTTACAATGACTTATGGGTAGAAAAGCCATACTAAGTAATTTACTACACTGCAATCCGTGTGTTGAAACATCTCAATTAGTATTCCATCAATTCCTGGAGCCTTGTTTTTTGCCAGTTCTTTCAGTGCAGTTTGGACTTCTTCCTTCAGTGTCATTGGTTTTTCATCATATACTACCTCCTGAAATAGTTGAATTTCAACCAGTTCTTTTTTGTACATTGACTCTGTGTAGTCCTTCCATGTTCTTTTGACGCTACCTGGATCATTTAATAATTTGCCCATAGAACCATTCAGTATTGCAATTTGAGATTTGAATTTTTTAATCAGTTCTTTCAGCTTGAGAAATTCCAAGCTTGTTCTTTCCCTTTGGTTTTCTAATTCCAGGTCTTTGCACATTTTATAATAATACTTTATTTTGTTTTCTTGAGCTGCCTTTTGAAATCTTCTGTTGAAGATTCATTGTTTCTTCCATTCACTTTAGCTATTCTACACTCAACAGAAAGCTTAAGAGTCTATTCTGACATCCATTTTTGTCTTTTCTTCCTTTCCTGTCTTTTAAATGACCTTTTTCTTTCTTACTGTAGGATTTTCTGGATGTTGTCCCACAACTTGTCTGGTCTTAATCATTGGCATTCATTGTGTCAAATCTGGTCTCTAAATTCAGGTGGAATAAAATTAAGGTTGTGGTTTTGCTCTCACAGTCTTGTTTTCATTATTTTCAGTTTTAGCTTGAACTTGCATATGAGCAATTGACAATCTCTTCCACAGTCAGCTCCTGGCCTTATTTTAACTGATGTTGTTGAGCCTCTTTCCAGAGATATAGTCAATCTGATTCCTGTGTATTTCATCTGGCAAGGTCCACGTGTATAGTACCATTTATGTTGTTGAAAAACGGTATTTTCAAAGAATAAGTTGTTTGTCTTATAAAATTCTATTATGTGTTTTCCGGCATCATTGCTGTCATCACCTAGTGATTTTTCTACTACTGATGATTCTTCTTTGTTTCCAACTTTCGCATTCTAATCACCAGTAATTATCAGTACATTTAATTGCATGTTTGATCAATTTCTAACTGCGAAAGTTGGTAAAAGTCTTTAATCTCTTCATCTTTTGCTTTGGTGGTTAGTGTGTAAATTTGACTGGTAGTATTAACTGGTCTTCCTTATAGGTATAAGATATTATAGGTATAACCAAACTAAAGCAAACTCACTGTCATCGAGTTGGATCTGACTCATAGCAACCCCTCCTTGGGTTTCTGAGGCAGTATGACTACGGAAGTAGATTGTCCAATCTTCCTTCTGAGGAGTGGCTGGTGATTATAGGTATAAACATTATCATATCATTGATAGCATTATGGGGAGTTCTGGTGGTGTAGTGCCTAAGACCTTTGACTGCTAATCAGAAGGCTGGTGGTTCAAACCTACCAGTCACTCCTCAGAAGGAAGGTTGGGCAATCTACTTCTGTAGTGATATTGCCTTGGAAACTCAAGGAGGGGTCACTATGAGTTGGACCTGACTCCACAGGCAGTGAGTTTGGTTTGGTCTTGGACAGCATTATGCTTCAGGATAGATGTTGAAATGTTATTTTGATGATGAATGCAACACCATTCCTCTTCAACTTTTTATTTCCAGCATAGAAGACTGTGAGGTTGTCAGATTCAAAATAGCCAGTAATAGTCCATTTCAACTCACTGATGCCTAAGATACCAATCTTTATGCATTCCATTTCATTTTGGACAACTTCCAATTTACCTAGATTCATATTTCATACATTGCACATTCTGATTTTTAATGGATGTTTATAGCTTTTTCTTCCCATTTTGAGCCTTTCCCCATCAGGAATTGAACTTCCTGAAAGTTTTTCTCCATCCGCATCATCTACTTTGAGGAGGCAGCTCTTCCCCAGTCATATTTTGAGTGCCTTCTATCCTGAAGTGCTCATCTTCCAGCACTATGTTAGACAATGTTTCACAGCTGTTCAGAAAGGGTTCCAGTAATACATTAGACATTGTTTCACTGCTATTCATAAAGTTTTCTGTGACCAATTTTTTCTGCTAGTGGATGGCCCTGTCCTTCCCAGGCTGTTTCTTAGTCTGGGAGCACTGTTGAAACCTGTAACTGTGGGTGACCTATTGATACTCGAGATACCAGTGGCATAGTCTCCAGCCTCATGGCAACATGCAAGCTACCACAGCATGACAAACTGACAGATGAGTGGTGGAAAATGGCAGTAGTATCAAGGAAAGAAGGAGCTCTGGTAGCATAGTGGCTAAAGCACTTGACTGCTAACCAGAAGGCTGGTGGTTCAAACCCACCAGCCACTCCTCGGAAGGAAGGTTGGGCAGTCCTACTTCCGTAGTGATACTGCCTCGGAAGCCCAAGGAGGGGTCGCTATGAGTCGGGGCCAACTCCACGGCACATAACAACAACAACAACATCAAGGAAAGATGGAGAAGTTAGAATGAGATGTAGATTCACAATTTGTGGTATATTAACTTTCAGTAGACTATCACTATAATTATTCTGTAGGTATATAGTGACATTGGAGGCCTTCTTGATGGGATTTTAAATATTTTGACGTTGAAAAAATTTCTGTTATTGAATATAAACTTTGTGCCAGGCAGTCAGACACTGAATATAGGGATGAGGAAGGCTATGCTGTAATAGTAGGAAACATTAAAACAAGTAAGCAACAATTACAAATCATTGTAAGTCTTCTTGTAAAGGAAACAGAGAATGTTAGGTTAAAGAATACTGGAGGAGTGGTACTTTGTATAGGGATTGCAGTAGGAGTGAGATTTAGGTAGTGAGAGAAGATCTGAATATGATAATTATGCTCCTGGGTGAAGGAAGAGAAAGAGCCAGTCATATGAAGAAGGTTTGGGAAAAGAATAGTTTGGGCAGAGAGAAATTGGATCACATCTGTCATGTCTGTTTAATCTACCATGTTACTCTAAAGATTTGGAATGTCCAAGAAGCAGGAAGTAGAGTAGCCATCATCATAACTATTCTTATTGTTGTGTGTAGAAAAGAAAATTAGCATAAGTGCCTGGCACAACCAAAACCAAACTCGGTGCCGTTGAGTCATAGTGACCCCTCCTTGGGTTTCCGAGCGGGTATCTCTACAGAAGTAGATCGTCCAATCTTCCTTCCAAGGAGTGGCTGGTGGATTTGAACTGCCAGCCTTCTGGTTAGCAGTCACATGCCTTAGGTACTATGCCACCAGAGCGTAAATGCTTAATAACTGTTATTCTTCTCATGAAATCTTAACTATTCTTTTCTTCAAACATCTCTTAATTTGGGAAAAAAAATAGAAACAAACTTACTGACATCAAGTTGAGTCTGACTCATAGTGACCCCCTTTGGGTTTCCGAGGCTGTAAATCTTCACAGAAGTAGATTGCTCCGTCTTCTTCCCACAGAGTGGCTGGTGGGTTTGAACCACCAACCTTCTGGTTAGCAGTCAGATACCTTAGGCACTACGCTACCAGAGCTCCTTAATTTGGAAAGTATTATATAGCATATCTATTATTTGTTTGCTATTATTTAAATGTAATCTAAGGAAAAGAATTTTTTTACTGTTTGTCATTTTTATTCAACTATTTTGTCTGTTAGTAAAAATTTCATCAAAAAAATTTTTGTCATGAAGCGTTAGCTCTTCTTTGTGACAGAAAATCGTGAGGTTCCTGCAAGCCTTTGCCAAAATTAAAGAGCTTCTAAAATGTTCTTTTTATATTCCCCATGACATACTGTGAAGTTTCTTTTCATGCCAGGCATCTTATTTTAAAAATTCTGTGATCTAGATATATATTAAATGTTAAATACTATCCATATTATAGCAAATATATTTATTAAAGAATTTGTTTAAATACAAATTCTTAAAAATACCCTTTTATTTTTGGTAGGGAATATAAAATAGTATTAGCTTTTTTGAAGTCAATTTCCTTGTTTTAACTTTAGTATCAGTATTTTGTGTGTATGAGTGTGTTTCCCCTGACCTTTCATGCTCAGTTTACAGAGTCAAAAGGTGAATGAAGATAAACAGTAGAGTTGATCTGGAAAGCAGAGATGAGGTTCTCTTTTTAAATGTCTAGGTTTTCAACATATGCTTCTCTTATTTTTAAGTCCAGTTGATTTTAAAATAGGAACTCTCAGAATGTGATTCAGAAATCTTTGTGTAACTCATTATTAATATTAATTTTAACAGAGTATTTCTGAGAATCTTCCCAAGGAATGTGTTGGTCATTTATCTGGAGCTACAGATGAAAAAGGAGAAAATATATTAAATGAACAAGTAGAAGGTAAAACTGTGTTTTCTAAGAAGTAATTTGACAATGTTTAAACATGACTGTTTCTCTAGTAGCCAAAGAAAATGTTAGTATAAGAAGGAGAAAGAAAAGGAAAATGGAGATAAGTTGTAGATGAACAGATGAAGAGTATCACTAAAGGAGCTAAATTACTTGTTTCATTTAAAAACATGTTTTGACCTAAGGAAAGTCATTAACTTAGGAGAAGGGAAGGAATAAAAGTAGAAGGAATGAAGAATGAGAAAGAGAGTACAGGGAGTAAATGAAGGAAAAGGTAGCCTGGGGTGCATAGTGGAAGGAGGTAAAATGAAATGAAATGATTCTTTAGAAGCAGGCAGAACAGGATATTACAAATGTGGAAATAATATAAAGTGATCCCAATTGTAAAACTTAGCAGAGAAGTAGACTAGTAATTTCTCACTCTTACTGTCTTGCTCACTGTTGGAAAGGCATTACAGTTTGAGACCCTGATTATACAGGGCTGTTTCATCTACCATGGATAAATATAAGCATATGTGGTCAGTTATAAATGTGTATACTTTGATGTCATATAAAATGTTGTTACTTCATAGGGCGGTATCATATAGGGCAAAGGAAGAGAATTGAAAACAGAAAGCAGGGCCCAGTTTTGGAGAGGGCAAGGAAACAAAAACCAGATTAAAATATCCATTAGAAAGTATGACTTTTTTTTTCTTCCTTTTTTCTTTTTTTCTGATGGCCAGTGATTGTGAGCATTTTTGCTGGGTACATAAATCTTAGTTGGAAATTTTTCTCTTTCAGGGTTTTATATATACCATCCCACTGTCTTCTCGCCTACATGGTTTCTGTTGTGAAATCTGAGCTTAGTCTTATTGGTTGCCCCTTGTAGGTAACTTTTCGTTTTTCCTGTGCTGCTCTCATGATTCTTTCTTTGTCTTTGGTTTTGGTGAGTTTGATGATGATGTGTCTTTGTAATTTTGTTTGGGGTTTGTTGGACTTCCTGAATGGATATATTCTCATCTTTCATCATATCAAGGAAGTTCTCCTCCAACAAATCTTGGACAATTTTCTCAGTGGTTTTATTGTTCTCGTCCTGTTCTGGAATTCTGATTACATGTACGTATTCCTTATGATGGTATCTCACATGAACTTTAGGCTTCTTCATTTTGTTTTGATCCTTTTTTCTGATTGATCCCTTTCCAAAGAAATATTCAGGCATTTGTCTTCAATCTCATTAATTCTGTCTTCCATTGCTTTAGTTCTACTCCTTTGCCCTTCCAATGTGTTATCTATTTCTGCCAATTTAGTATTAATCTTCTGGATTTTTATGTGTAGATTTAGAATCATTTCTAATTTTTCATTCATTTTGCTGTTTTGTTCTTGTATTTTCTTCCAAAATTCTTCTAGTGTTTTGTCTGTGTTTTCCTTAGTTTGTCTCTCAATCCTTTGAAGATACCTAAATATAATTCTTTTGAATTCCTTATCAGGGAGTTCCAGTGCTGCATCTTCCTCAGGGATGTGTTTGGGGTCTATATCCTGGTCCCTTGTTTCTCCTGCTTTATCTTGCTTCTTTGTGTGGACTGTGATGATTTTTTGTCTCTGAGGCATTGTGATGTTCTTGTGTTTATTTAATTGGTGATTATATGTTGGAGTAACTTGCCCACAATTTTCGTTTTGTTTTGTTTGTATATTATCTGTATAGGCAGGGTACTGTGCTCTGCTTCTTTATTCACTAGTTGACAGCACTTACACACTTACCACCTGTCTCCTTTCCTTTATCAGCCTCTCGTAGGTCCTTGCCGACCCTGGCAAACAGAGCCTGTTCTTAGGTCCCTGGAATCTGAATGAGAATGCTATCACTTTAAAAACCCTAATTAAAACTTTATGATTTTTAATGCACTTTCAGTTTGGGGGAAGTGATAGGGAGGAAACTTGAGGCTAGATTCCAAAGGATAAAATAAAGTAACATGGAAACCAACTCGTTATAGATTAGAGCCTCTCAAACATTAATGAATCGTCTGGGAGCTTGTTAAAAACTTACATTCTGATTCAGTAGGTCTGGAATTCTTTATTTCAAACAAGCTCCCAGGTGATGCTACTGCTGCTGGTCCTCAAAGCACACTTTGAGTAACAAGCATATAGATGTGCTCTAGGGATTTTTGGAAAAAGAGTTGTGGGATAATAGTTCAAGACAACAGGATCAAAAAGGCATTATTTTGTTTCTGAGCATGTTTATGGGCAGAGAGAAAGGAGCAAAAGAGATGAAGAAATAAAAATACAGCAAGATGCTATTGCTCAACAAAGGTGAAAGAAGTTGCAGGGATAATTCCTAACAAGAATGCAAAAAAGGAAGAATCAAGACCACAGATCTGTAGATTATTTTTGAAGAACAAAAATAGCGAATAGAAAGAGGAAGGAGGAAAGAAGTTATCTAGATATTTTGGACTAATGATAAAGAAACTTGAGAGAACTCTTTATATGCCCAGTATATTCTCTCTGCAGCATAAGATTAGATCATTGCTGCTGCAGAGAATACTGCAAACAGGAGAGAGTGCTACGTTTGGAGTAAACTCAATTTGCTCATTTCTTTCCTTTATCACTAAAAGGCTTCAAACATATGTGTTGAATTGATGTTGGTTATTCAAATGAAATTAATTTGAATATTGAAGCATTGGCTGTTTTTGGTAAGGTAACTCATTGTTTTCTTAAGATAGCTTTTTCAGAAAAATCCTTTTAGAAACTAGAGTGATACCAAAGCAAACTAATTTTAAAAACAAAAACAAATGATAGATTTCATTCCCTGAATACTAAAATTGTTATTTTCATTAAATGTTGCATTGATTTATAAACATAAAATGGTATTACCATCTAATAATTCTGTGATTGAATTTCTTTTTTCCTTTTTGATAACAATATTGTACATTATTCCTTAGATGTTTTTTATATACCTTCTTGCATGAGTGGCTCAAGAAGTTTTAAAATGGCTAAATTAAAGGATACAAGAAATATAGACATACCAGTAGCCCACATGGGTATGGAAAAAAATGGATATTTTTATTAACTATTATTCTACAAGTGTATATGCAAGATGATCAATTCAAACCATTTTATTTCTTTGATGAAGAATGAATTATACGTTCAATTGAACTGTCATCACATTTGTACTTCGTAAATTACAGGACAAATTGAAGGACATAATCGATACTTGTAGGATAATTGTATAAATGATTCTATTATGTTTTACCATCAGCTTTGACATTTATCTTCTCAGAGTCATTATTTGCTCCTCTGATTAAAGATCATTTTTCTCCCCATCAATCAGCATGGTCACATTGGTGTATGCATACTTTTAATTTTAGTTACTGTCGCTGTCATTTGAAACATAATGTTACTTTTCAAATCCTAACTGCATGTTTTATTAAACATTTCCAAAGCTAAGCATAAATATTCAGCTTGACACTAATACTGCATGAATGCACATGGTTGGCTTTTGTCATATTTACATACAGTTGATTGTATGTCCCCTTTGCTTTATAGATTCTACTGAGAAATATCCCCACTGGAAGGTAATAACTTTTATATAACTTGGGTATTTTTATCTTTACTTATTAACTATTGATTATATGAAATGTACCTCATTTGTTGATCATCTTATTTCAAAGCCCAGTCAGCCCACCATTGGAATGAAAGATTCTGCTTCTTATCAAGCAGTGGGAATGAAGGATGTACAAATATCAAAATCAGGTAAATTTTGCAATACAGTTTTAACTCTGGAAATAAATTCCCTTAGCTATTTGTATTGTTCACAGTCTTCTTGTTTCTAATTTATTTCATTTTTGCCAGTTTAGTTTAAAGATTTGATATAAATAATGCAAATGCTATTGCTGTTATCTATATTTTTTAAGGAAGATACTTAGAAGCTGTGTTAGGCTGCATTCTTTAGAGAAGCAAAACCAGTTAAGTTTATATATACATCTAGAGAAAGAGAAATTTATCTTAGCAAAATGGCTTACACACTTACAGAAGCTGGCAAGTCCCAAGTTCTTGAATCAAACATTAAGCTGGAGGCTTTTCCCAACTCATGCAGCTGCAGGGGCTGATGAGCTCAAGGTTGGCAGGCAGTATACTGGCTGTTTACTCCAACGAATGACAGATCCAGGATTTTCTGGCCGAATGGTGGATTGTTCACTCACGGACAGTTGTAGGCAGCACAATAGGATCTCAATCCGCAGAAGAATGTCTCTTTTCCCAAGATGTTCATAAATATATTGGAAGCAGGCCACGCCCCTAGGGTAACTCCCTTTCAATGGATTGGCTGCTCAGAACGTATACAGCTGATCCCATCATGGGAATAACTCACATCACAACTGTTTAAACCACACAGAATTGTGGTCCAGTCAAGTTGACACACAACTCCAACAATCACAGAAGCCTAAAACAAATATTTTAACTCAGATGTTTCCATTTCTGTGCTTTGTATACTCTGAAGTTTCTAGTTTGAAATTCCTGTACTTCTTAGGAATTCATAGAAGTTAATAATGGGACTCTTTTAAGGTTTTTCTCTAGTATTTAAAAATGCTTATTAGAATTCTGACCTTTACCTAGAGGAGAGAGCCTCAGTTGCTCACGTGTCAATTGTGTTTTAAGTTAATTGATTTCATCTTAGTTTTGTTATATTGATGATACTAAGCCAATCAGATGTTCTGAGTAGCAGAGTCTGTGTGTGTGTTGTATGGTGTCCAGTATGTTTGTTAAAAATAGGGAAAGTCATTAATCATTCCTTAATGAATATTTGGTAGAGATAATCTTTTAAAACAGTAATTATAAAACTGTACAGCCTTAAGATCCCTTAATGCTATTAAATATTATTGAGAATTCTAGAGAGCTTTTGTTTAAGTGAGTTATGTCTATTGATATTTCGTATATTAGAAATCAAAACTGAAAATTTGGAACACAAGCACACATAATCACACATTATTAGCTATTAGAGTATAATTAATGTTATCACACATTACGTTGTCTCTGGAAAATGCCATAGGAGAATAATACTGTTTGACTGAAAATGTCAAACAGTATCTTAATGTTGGTTATGAAAATAGTTTTGGTCCCTGAATTGATCTTGGGATTCCATAGATTCTCAGATCACACTTTAGAACCCCCTTTTTAAACCTTAAGGTCCATAGGTGGCACTAATGTTTTTGCTTGACTACTAACTGAAAGGGGGAGCTCTGATAGCATAGTGCCTAAGGCATTTGATGGCTAACCAGAAGGCTAGTGGTTCAAACCCACCAGTCACTCCTCGGAAAGAAGGTTGGGCAATCTACTTCTGTAGTGGTAACACCTAGGAAACCCAAGGAGGGGTCACTATGAGTCAGATCTGATTTGACGGCAGTGAGTTTACTAACTGAAAGGTGTGTGGATTCAAATGTACCTGGTGGCAAAGAAGAATGTCCTAGCACTCTACTTCTGTAGATTATAGCCATTGAAAGCCTTGGAGCACAGTTCTACTTTAACATGTGTGGGATGTCTCTATAAGTTGGAATCAACTTGAAGGCAGTGGGTTTGGTTTTTGCTTTAGGTTTCTTAATTAATACACAGAGTTCATGGATAGAAAATGATAAAGATACCCTTGGAAATGGCCTTTAACATTTCACTTCTACAATTTTTGTTTTTTGTTTTTTCACTTGTCTTAAAAAGTTTATGTCTGATAACTTGTTCTATTTCAAAATGGAAAATATTTTTGTTATGCATGAAGTTCCTGAAGGAAATTCAAGGCTTAATAACTAGAAGGCTGACAGTTCAAACAAACCCAGCAGCCACTCTTCGGAAGGAAGACTGGGCAATCTACTTCTGTAGAGATACCGCCTTAGAAACCCAAGGAGAAGCTCTGGTGGCGTAGTGCCTAAGGAACTTGACTGCTAACCAGAAGGCTGGCGGTTCAAACCCACCGGCCACTCCTTGGAAGGAAGATGGGACAATATACTTCCATAGTGATACTGCTTTGGAAACCCAAGGAGAGGTTGCTATGAGTTGTGTCCGACTCGACGGCATATAACAACAACAGAAACCCAAGGAGGGGTCACTATGAGTTGGCATTGACTCGATGGCAGTGAGTTTGGTTTTTGGTTTATTCATTTCCTGTGTCATAGTTCTCCGTACTCTTTGGATCTTTTATTGAACTGGGCGTATCCTTTCTTTACATGGAAATATTTAGGTCACTTATGGCTGTCATGTTTCATTTAAATTCAAAATGTTTATTCAAGGCTTAAAAAATGAATTCTGAAGATACTGTTGAAGAAAGGTCATCTCATTGTAATGAAAGTAGTTTTTGTTAAAGTAGTACATTCATTAAAAGTTTTTTTTTTAAATTATGTCTCCAGAACACACACAATATTCTGTCATGTATATTTAAATTTAAAATGTATACTCATCAATTTTGTTGTTAATAACAAAAAGTTCGTATCTCTGAATAATCTTTAAGCGTTAATAAACAAAGTTCTCATGGAATACAAAATAAATCATAGAGATTTCTGGGTATATCAAAGTAGGTTATACTAAAAAATAAAAAATAGATAAAATGAAAAATAGTAGTTAATTAGCTTATCTAAGTTACTGACGGGAGCTCTGGTAGCGTCGGGTCCAACTCAACAGCACATAACAACAACAAGAGCAACAAGTTACTGACAAGTATGTAGTCATTAGTTTCCATTAAGTCAATTCTGACTTATGGCAGCCATGGGGCAATAGCCATCAAAGGTATAGGGCATGTAAAATACAGTAAGTCATAAAGGAGTAGTGTTTGTATGGTACAGGAGGACATGGGATTGCTTCTCTCAAAAAAGAATTTGTGCAAGTTCGTGAGACTAATATTATTTTTATTACATTCTAATAAATGAACTCTTTATTTCCACATTTTTCAGACTTGGATTCTACTAGTTTGAAAGTTGATGATAAATGTCCATTTGTATCACAGTCAATGACCAAAAGTCATTTAGCATCCACACAGTTTGGACAGATGACCTTAATAGATAAAGAAAAGGCTAATATTGGAGCTGTGTTTCTACTAGATAATTATCCTCTTCCTGACCTGTGTGACTCAGAGCTGCTAGAAAACAATGAGAACAAAGAAGGTAATGAAGAAGTGTAGAGACTTCAGTCACAGAGTACCTCTGCATGGCTTCACTCTAGTTCTGACTTTGCAAACCTCTTTTTGTGCAAAATTTACTTTGTGTTTACTCCTCTTATGCAACCAAAACCAAACAATAGTTTTATCAAATATTTGCATTCTGCCTGCAACCCAAACAGCAAATAAATAGCGAAGAGAATTTGGAGTGGGAGTAATTTCCTTCAGACTAGTATTTAGCATATAGTTGAGAGTAAGTAACAGGATTAATTGTAGAACTTTGGGATTAGATTGGCAAACTAGATAGAGATCAGAAGATTGCCCACCCGAACACAATGTGGTTTCTTAACTTTATAGGTCTGAATTTATAAGTATTAGTAATTAATAGAGGGGTCAGTGAAAAAGAGAAAACTATCAATGAGATGGATTGCCACAGGGCTGTAACAGTATACTAAACCATTGCAGGGATTGTGAGGATGGCACAGGACTGGGCAATGTTTCCTTCTGTTGTACATAGGGTTAGTAGGAGTTGAAACCAACTCATTGGCACCTAACAACAAAAACAAGTTATAAATATAGCTATTAAAATGTAACTAAAACACTACCGTTCAAAAGCACTTACTAAATTATTTGGTGTCACTTTTTTTTTGTTGTTAGAATGTTTTCCCAGTGTTAATGGGAATCATTGAGAATTTGCTATATACTATCTCCTTTTCTTAGCTTAGAAAGCTCTCAAAGTAGGAGTGGGCAAGAGCTGCATTATCAGAGTAAAATCAGCCTTACTCACATGGATTAGGTAAAGCTTTCGAGACCTCCATTTGCAGACATGACACTACTCAGATTGAGGAGAAACAGCGGCAAACATGCATTAATACTTGGAACGTGGAATGTATGAAGTATGAATCTAGGAAAATTGGAAGTTGTCAAAAATGAAATGGAACACATCCTAGGCATTAGTGAGCTGAATTGGACTGGTTTTGGCCATTTTGAATCAGACAACCATATGATCTACTATGTCGGGAACTACATTTTAAAGAGGAATGGCGTGGTGTTCCTCATCACAAAGGATGTTTCAAGATCTGTCCTGAAATACAGTGCTGTCAGTGATAGGATAATATCCATACACCTACAAGGAAAACCAGTTAATATGACTATTATTCAAATTTATGCACCAACCACCAAAGGCAAAGATGAGGAAATTGAAGATTTTTATCAACTCGTGCAGTCTGAAATTGACTGGACATGCAATCAGGATGTGTTAATTATCACTGGTGACTGGAGTGCAAAAGTTGGAAACAAAGAAGAATCACTGGTAGTTGGAAAATTTGGTCTTGGTGACAGAAACAATGCTGGAACTCACATGGTAGAATTTTTCAAGACCAACAACTTGTTCATTGCAAACACCATTTTTCAACAACACAAATGGCGGCTGTACATGTGGACTTCACCAGATGGAACACACAGGAATCAGATTGACTACGTCTGTGGCAAGAGGCGATGGAGAAGCTCAATATCTTCAGCCAAAACCAGCCCAGGAGCTGATTGTGGAACAGACCATCAACTGCTCATATGCAAGTCCAACTTGAAGTTAAAGACAATTAAAACAAGTCCACGAGAGCCAAAATATGATCTATTTTGAATTTAGATTTGAATTTAGAGACATCTAAAGAATAGATTTGATGCATTGAACACCAATGGCCGAAAACCACAAGAATTGTAGGATGACATCAAGAGCATCATCCATGAAGAAAGCAAGAGGTCACTAAAAAGATGCAAAAAGAAGAGGAGACCAAAATGGATCACAGAAGAGACTCTGAAACTTGCCCTTGAGCGGAGAGTAGCTAAAGCAAATGGAAGAAATGACAAGATAAAAGAATTGAACCAAAGATTTCAGAAAGCAGATCGAGAAGACAAAGCCAATTACTACAATGAAATGTGCAAAGAACTGGAGTTAGAAAGCCAAAAGAGAGCAACATGCTCGACATTTCTCAAGCTGAAAGAACTGAGGAAAAATTTTAAGCCTCGAGTTGCAATATTGTAAGATTCTAAGGGAAAAATATTGAATGTTGCAGGGAACATGAAAAGAAGATGGAAAGAATACACAGTCACTGTACCAAAAAGAACTGGTTGATCTTCATCCATTTCAGGAGGTGGCATATGATCCAGAACCAATGGTACTGAAGGAGGAAGTTGAAGCTGCAGTGAAGGAATTGGTGAAGAACAAGGCTCCGGGAATTAACGGAATACCCAATGAGCTATTTCAACGAACGGATACCGCATTGGAGGCACTCACTCGGTTATGCCAAGAGATTTGGAAGACAGCTACCTGGCCAACTGACTGGAAGAGGTCCATATTTGAACCCATTCCCAAGAAAGGTGATCCCACAGAATGTGGAAATTAT